TTCCAAATTGCTGGCATATTGAGGGCAGCACTTTCACAGCCTCATCTTTTAGGATTTGAAATACTTCAACTGGAATCCCATCACCTCCACTAGCTTTGTTCATAATGATGCTTCCTACAGCCCACTTGAGTTCACATTCCAGGATGTGTGGCTCTAGGTGAGTGATCACACCATCATGGTTATCTGAGTCATGAAGATCTTTTTTGTACAGTTCTTCTGTGTATTCTTGCCACCTCTTCTTAATATCTTCTGCTTCTGTTAAGTCCATACCATTTCTGTCCTTTATTGTGCTCATCTTTGCATGAAATGTTCCCTTGGTATCTCTAATTTTCTTGATGTGATCTCTAGTCTTTCCCATTCTATTGTTTCCTCTACTTCTTTGCATTGATCGCTGAGGAAGGCTTTCTTATCTCTCCTTGCTGTTCTTTGGAACTCTGCATTCAGATGGGTATATCTTTCCTTTTCTCCTTTGCCTTTCACTTCTCTTCTTTGCTCAGTTATTTGTAAGGCCTCCTCAGACAACCCTTTTGCCTCTTTGCATTTCTCTTTCCTGGGGATGATTTTGATCCCTGCCTCCTGTACAATGTCATGTACCTCCGTCCATAGTTCTTCAGGCACTCTGTCTATCAGATTTAATCCCTTGAATCTACTTGTCACTTCCACTGTATAACCGTAAGGGATTTGATTTAGGTCATACCTGAATGGCTTATTGGCTTTCCCTACTTTCTTCAGTTTAATTCTGAATTTGGCAATAAGGGGTTCATCATCAGAATCACAGTCAGCTCCCAGTCTTGTTTTTGCTGACTGTATAGAGCTTCTCCATCTTTGGCTGCAAGGAATATAATAAATCTGATTTCAATATTGACCGTCTGGTGATGGCCATGTGTAGAGTCTTCTCTTGTGTTGTTGGAAGAGGGTGTTTGTTGTGACCAGTGCATTCTCTTGGCAAAATTCTGTTAGCCTTTGACCTGCTTCGTTTTGTACTCCAAGGCCAAATTTGCATGTTATTCCAGGTATCTCTTGACTTCCTACTTTTGCATTCCTGTCCCCTATAATGAAAAGGACATCTTTTTTGAGTGTTAGTTCTAGAATATCTTGTGGGTCTTCACAGAATCGTTCAATAATGAGGATAAATTACCTTGTGACTTTGTTTTTAAAATAATAAGTCTCCTTGGAAATCTTTATCCATCTATGATCAAATGTGATATAATCCTCTGTTACAAGTGCAATAAGGTATGCACTTGTATGTTACAAGTCCATGAAGTATGTTTATAACCTATGGTGTTCACCTGTATGAAAGGCATGAGGGAGAATGGAGGATGGGAGGGGTGGTAGGGCAGGTTGAGAAGAGCATGTGGCCACCTACACTGGGGCAGAACACATACCTGGCAGATTCCTACTTTCTGGCTTGGTGACTGAGAAAAATTGCAAGAAAACCACTCCAAGCAGGTGACTTTAAAACCAAGCCTTTTTCAGCTTTTGACTTTTCAGCTGTTATGAGGACAAAAATGTGAGGAAGAAATTACCATGGAGAATATAAGTAGAAAGGGAAGAGCCAGAGGAAGAGGCTGATGTTTAATAATAGTAATAAATCTTTATTGAGCACATTCTGTGTGCCTGGAAACTTTATAAGTACTACTTTTTGAAACAGCCCTGTAAGTTACAGTACTATTATTCCCATTTTAAAGATGAGGTGACTGAGGCACAGAGAGATTAAGTAACTTGCCAAAGTCACACAGTCTCTAGGGGGCAGAGCTGGAATTTGAAATTAGGTCTAGGGACTACAGAACCCAATCTCTTTCTCTCTCTCTTTTTCCCCAGCTTCATTGAATACAATTGACATAACATTGTGTAAGTGTAAGGTGTACAATACACTGATTTGACGTACTTGTACATTGTGAAAGGATTATCATGATAAGGTTAGAGAACACATAAATCGCCTTACATAATTATTTTGTGGTGAGATCATTTAAGATCTACTCTCTTAGCAACTTTCAAGTATATAATATTGTATTGTTCTCTTAAGCCATCGTGCTGTTTCTCTGACTCTTATTGCCTATAAGATTCCTAGTGCCTACTATAGATACTGTTGCCAAAAAGTGATCATTTCTGGACACCTGCCTCTAGAAGAACAGCACTTCTAAGGATCTCTCTTATTGGTAAGAAAAGCATTGCCAGCAACTGGCTCTGCGACCTTGAGTAAATTGCTTTCCCTCTCTGGGTCTCAGCACCCACATCTGTAATGGAGAAGGATTGGAGTAGGTACTCTCCATAGGTCTTTCCTTCTCTAAAATTCTGTACCTGTATTGAGTGTCTAGGATGACCTCTCATCTCTACCATGGAGATCCTTTCAGAAGGCTCCCCCCTTGGGAAGTGGGAGCAAAAGAAGCTGTCTGTTAGATAGGCAGAGCATACTCTGACACAGGTACAGTTATTGAGCACTTATTACATACCAGGTAATAAGTAGGTAACAAGGATACATAGTTGAAGATAAATATGGTACCTGCCTTCAAGGAATGCACAGTCCAGTAATGAAAGCAGGCAGCAGTTTTAAAGGCTTATATCACAGAATATTCTGATCACAGAAGTAAGCACAGGGTATTTCTGGAGCAGAGGAAAGGAATATGTAACTTTGCTTGGGGTAGGCACTGGGGATGGTGAGGAAAGGTTTCCTGGAAAAGGTGATCTGTGACTTGAACTTCTTAGCATGGTAAGGTCTAAGGAGCAGGAGGGCTGAAGAAGGTGGAAGGTTCCTCCTGCCATGTCAGGAAAGGCATTTAGCTAACACACACCCCTGCTTGAAAAGTCAGAGCTCATGCCTGTCCCAGAGATCTGAGTGTAGAGGCTGGAATACAGAACTGCTGTTCTTTTATAAACATGTGTTTTTTTCTTCCTACTCTGTGTGGAAAAGCCGATTTTTTATTAACTCTTCTCTCAAAGGGTAGACTCTGAAAGCAGGAAAAGGCTGAGGTTTCGTTTCCAATTCTGTCCTTAACCTATTGTGTATACTCTGGGATCACATACTTTGGTGCATACCGCTTCGTATCATATCATTTCAGTTTATCTGTGGTAAGAAAAAAATGAGTGCTGTTCCATTGCCACTGGATAAATTCCAGAGCCTAGAAAAGTCTTTTGAGTGACCAGTTTCATTTCCTTTAAGACTATCAGACAGATAAGAATGTCTTCTAGTTTTAAGCATTCCACTGAAGGGAATTTCTAACCTTAATTGGTCATTCTTTTTAGTTTCTAAACCCTCTCTCACCATCAGAAAGTTCCTCCTGTTTTCCTATTTAAACTCTTATTGTTTTTTCTTTAGGTCCATATCTTTTTCTCTGGCCTCACTGAATATTGAGAACAGCTCATATTGCCATGTTGCCAACAAGCTTAGCGAGTATGTTAAGACCTTCTTTGAAAAGGCTTCAGGTGAAGGCAAAGTGGCTTATTAGCTTCTCAGAGTGTACATAGAATCTTCCTCAGCGAAGAGAGAAGCAAAAGTGAGGCTAGCAGTCCCTGGAGCAGCCTGCCTTTCACTGTCTGGAACCTTTCTGGAACTTCTAAATATGCCAGTCAGTCACCATTAATCAAATATCTGCTTTGTGGGGGCTCTATACTATGTTAGGTTCTGCATCCACACGCGTGGTAGGTGACCGTCCCGTGACCTGTGATGTAGCACTCAAGTATAGTGTTCTTGTAGTTAGACTCTCTTGGTTGTAAGTAGCAGAGATTTGAGTTCTCCAATGAAAAGGGAATTTATTATAACATAAGAAAAGTGGAACTGGAAAGCCATTAACAAGGACTGAATTCCCTAACTCTTTCAGGAGCAGTATGGAGTTTCCCTTCATGGTGTACCTGATTTCTGCCACTGTGTTCTCTTCTTTTACCAATCAGTTTGCTCAGCTTACCCAGAACTGACGTCTATTCATAACTTTGGATTGAACTTGGCTTCAGCTTGACACAGACTTGATTTTACCTCCTGGTGTTTTTTTCCTATCTCCTGCTCCATCTGCTAACTAGCACAACGTTTCTGTATTCCTTGATTAAAATTTCCAGAAACAAGAATTTGGCCCAGCTATTCTCTTCAGAGCATGCTATATCACCCATTACTGGCCAGCCAACGAATTTGGTTGCTCTTGTGTCAGATGCCAATGCTTAGTCCAATTCATGATCGCCAAAGGCAAGGGGGAGTGGGTCACAGGTTACAAAATGTAAACCTAGGCAGCAAATAAGAGCTGTAGTTGACGCAAATGTCCTTAAAAGGCAGTGCCAGCAAGTAGACCCAGATTTATATCTCTAAGTCAGAAGAGTAAGGTTATCACTAAGATCGCACAGAGTTGCCCTCTAATAATTAAATGACCTCAACAAAATGAGATGAAGGCAAGGGGCACAGTGGAAGGTTTTGAAAGCTAAAGAAAGTAGGAATGCTTAGCATGAAGCTGGAATGTTCTCTCAGAAGTGTTTCTGGAGGAGGGAGTGTGGTCCCCTGCTCACCAGTAGATGCCTACATAATGTGTATGCTTTGTGTAGATCTCAGTCTGGCAACTGACTTCAAGTTACAGAAATCATGACCTATCTTCAACTAGTAGAGACTGACCTGACTCTAGAAAAGGCTGAATTGTAGGGACAAGTACCTGTCTCTACCTTGTTGCTCTTTGTAAATCAGACCAAGATAGAAGAGGAATCTGGTTGGAGAGGCCAACTCAGCTTTGTGAATCATTGGCAAAAACATTTTGGCTGTAAAAAGTACATTGGTTGGTCTCAATCCCTAATACTGTCCTTTTTTTAATGAGTTGGCCCCTTTACTATCTGTTGCAGCTCACCACCCATGACACAGTAAAGACATCCTGTTGAGTTGATAGTGTCATAGATATCTAGGGTAAAAGAGAAAAGGTAAACTCTGAATGGAAGAGGCAGAATTTGAGCTGAGCTAATCCAGAGGGGATGTTGGGATGACAGAGGCCTGTTATATTTTTTTCTGCCTGTATGTATTTTTTTTTTTCCAGGACTGCTGATAAGCTCAGGCTGTGCATTATACCCCTTAGGATGGAATAGCCCGGAGATAATGCAAACGTGTGGGAATGTCTCCAATCAATTTCAGTTAGGTAAGATGGCTTGTGCAAGATGGCAGTGATGGGGAATCGGTTTCTCAAAGTGCTCTTAGAGGGGTCTGTACTTGCTAGTGGTGCTTGCCTGACCCTTTCATTGTGTTAGCTTGTGGGAAGTGGTATCTTGGTTAGTCTCATGTGGCCTTGCTAATTTACAAGGATTGAACATAAATTCTGCTTCTTTAACGATGTCTTACCACACCCTTATGTACTTTTACCCAGAGTTCTGTGACCGATTTAGGGCAACCCTGTCTACAGAGAGCTTCCCTGGTGGCTCAGATGGTAAAGAATCTGCCTGTAATGCAGGAGACCTGGGTTTGATCCCTGGGTCCAGAACATCCCCTAGAGAAGGAAATGGCAGCCCACTCCAGTCCAGAGAATCCCATGGACAGAGGAGCTTAGTGGGTCACAGTCCATGGGTTTGCAAGGAGTTGGACATGACTGAGCGACTAACAGTTTCAGTTTTATCTACAGAGAGATTCTAAATGCTTAGAGGCTGCAGATCTGTCATCCTTTGAATAAGTCCTAGACTCTATTAGTATTTCTTTCTAGGCAGCTATTTTCCAAATACAAATCAATAGTAGCTCTTCTCACTCTCCACTGAGCATAAAGCAAGAGATAATTTGTTTTATATCATGCATTAGGAACCTAAGTTAAACATTGGGAATTGTTACTGGCATTTTTACATTGTTACTGTCATGTTAATGACAAGAGGTGTTAAATATTAAAATTGGTGACAGAAATAACTTTGGACTCTTCTGTGGTTGCCAACTTCTTTGAGAATGACTTAAGTTCATTATTGTGAATTCGGAATAGATTAGACTCTACCTGGAAGATCTCAAAATACTTGTCCAAACTACCAGGATGGAATGTCTAGGTTTCCTTGAGTATTTTCAATTGTAGTAGAGGATTTTGGAACAATGAGGACACCCATTCACTGGAGCTTATGCTCCCATACTTCCCTTTTCTCTCTATTACCTCAGACTGTTTTTTGAGCCTTACCTGACTCATTTTCGGAGGGAGTTGTTTACTGTACAAACATAATATAAGGAAAGGACTGTAGAGAAGATGTGACAAAATGAAGACCCTAGCATGTCCAGTGTTCCTGGCTCAGCGTGGGGCTGACTGTTAAACACAATGATTGTACCATAGGTGAAGGAAGGAGTAAAGAAATTCAAAAAGAAACTTTGGGGGCAGGGACTGAAGAAAAAAGAAGCAAGACACTGGTGCTGCTAACCAGGGTAGAGAAAGCTGAAGATTTAGCACACATCTCTTACTGGGTTCTTACTCCTATAATTCTACTTTAAAAAAAAAACGGCTTTAACAGAGCATTTTTAGGGCAGTGAAACTGTTCTGTCAGACTCAGTATCTACTATAATGGTGGACACACCCAGGTGGCTCAGCGGTAAAGAATCCATCTGCCATTGCAGGAGACGCAGGTTCAATCCCTGGGTCGGGAAGATCCCCTGGAGAAGGAAATGGCAACCCACTCCAGGATTCTTTCCTGGAGAATCCCATGGACAGAGGAGCCTGGTGGGCTAAAGTCCATGGGATTGCAAAGAGTTGGACACAATTGAGTGACTAAGCACCTTTGTCCAAGCATATTGAATGTATGATACCATGAGTGATTTGTAATATACCCTATGGACTTTGAGTGGTTATGATGTGTCAGTGTTGATTCATCAACCATAAAAAATTTTCCACTCCACTGTGGGATGTTGACAGTGAGGGTGGTCGTGGTTGTGGTGGACAGGGTGCAGAGGAGAAATCTCTGTAACTGTCTGCTCAACTTTGCTGTGAACCTAAGACTGCTCTAAAAAATAAAGTTTATTTTTTTTAACTGAAAAAAGTAACAGTTTTATTGATATAAAATTTGCATAGTATAAAATTTGCCTTTTAAAGTGTACAGTTAGTGGGTTTTACTATATTCACATGGTTGTACAATCACTATTATCCAATTTCAGAATATTTTCAAAATAAGAAGCAGCCACTTCTTATTCCTCCCTGTGCCCAGCCCCTGGCAACCACTGTCAATTTAGATTTGCCTGTTCTGAACATTTCAGATAAATGGAATCATATAACATGTGGCTTTGTGGGTCTGACTCCTTTTACTTAGCATAATGTTTTCAAGGTTCATCCATGTTGTAACTTGTATCAGTACTTCTGCCTTTCATAGATGAATAATATAACATTGTATAGATATATTTTATTTATCCACTTATCAGTTGATGTATGGAGAAGGAAATGGCAACCCACTCCAGTATTCTTGCCTAGACAATCCCGTGGATAGAAGAGCCTGGTGGGCTGCTGTCCATAGGGTCATGCAGAGTAAGACACGACTGAAGCGACTTAGCATGCATGCATGCATTGGAGAAGGAAATGGCAACCCACTCCAGTATTCTTGCCTGGAGAATCCCAGGGACAGAGGAGCCTGGTGGGCTGCTGTCTATGGGGTGGCACAGAGTTGGACACGACTGAAGCGACTTAGCAGCAGTAGCAACAGCAGCGGCAGCAGTTGATATATACTTCGGCCTTTCTACTTTGGGGCTATAATGATTAATACTGCTATAATAATTTGTGTACACATTTTTGTATGGAAATCTATTTTTATTTGTCTTGGGTATATATCTAGGTAGGCACAGAATTGCTGTGTCAAATTATAATTCTATATTTAAGCCTTCTGAGGACCTTGCAAGTTGTTTTCCAAAGTGACTGCATCATTTTACATTTCCACCAGCAATGTACAAGGGTTCCAATTTTCCAGTATCTTCACCAATACTTATTTTACATTTTTAAAATTATAGCCATCCTAATGTGTGTGAAATGATATCTCATTGTGACTTTAATTTTCATTTCCCTCATGACTGATGTTAAGCATTTTTTCATTTACTTATTGGCCATTTCTATATCTTTGTAGAAATGCCTATTCAAATCCTTTGCCAATTTTTAACTGGGTTATTTGCCTTTTTTTGTTGAGTTGTAAGAGTTCTTAATGTATTCTGGACACTAGACCCCTTTCAGAAATGTGATTTGCAAGTACTTTCCCTCATTCTGTAGACTGTATTTTCACTTTCTTGATGACATCCTTTGAAATACAAAATTATTTAATTTTAATGAAATCTGCTTTTATCTAATTTTTCTCTTGTGGCTTGTATTTTTGGTGTCATATCTAAGAATACAATTAGTGGTCCCAAATCTAAAATTATGAAGATTGTTTTGGCTACTTTGGCCTCCTTGTGTTTCCCTGTGAATTTTAGGTTCAACTTTTCAATTTCTGCCAAAAAAAAGTGAGCTGGGATTTTGATAGAGATTGGATTGAATCTATACATCAGTTTGGAGTGTATAACCTCTTTAGTCATTTTAAGTTTCCCAACCCATGAACACAAGATGATGTTCCTGTGAATCAGGTTATCTTAAATCTCTTTTGATGATATTTTTTAGTTTTCAGTATACAAGTCTTACAATTTGTTTGGTGACATGTATCCCTAGGTATTTTGTTGTTTTTGATGATATTGTAAATGGAATTGTTGTCTTAATTTTATTTTTGGATTGCTCATTGTTAGTGTATGTGTGTGTGCTAAATCGCTTCAGTCATATCTGACTCTGTGCCACCCTATGGACTGTAGCTGACCAGGCTCCTCTGTCCATGGGATTCTCCAGGCAAGAATACTGGAGTGGGTTGCCATGCCCTCCTCCAGGGGATCTTTCCAATCCAGGGATCGAGCCTGGGTCTCTTGCATCTCCTGCATTGGCAGGTGGGTTTTTCACCACTAGTGCCACCTGGGAAGCCCATGTTAGTGTATAGAAATACAAATGACTTTTCTGGATTGACCTTGTATCCTGCAAGCTTGCAGAACACCTTTGCTAATTCTAATGATTTTTTAGTAGATTGCTTAGGATTTATTATATACCTGATCATGTCATCTGAGAAGAGAGAAGTTTTACATCTTCCTTTCCAATCTTTTCTTTGTGTAATTGCCCTGGCTCGAACCTCCAGTACAATGTTGAATAGAACTTGTGACAGTGAACATCCTTATCTGTGATCTTAGGGGTAAATCATCCAGTTTTTCACCACTAAGTATTGATGTTGACTAGGCTATTTTTGGACTTTCCCAGTGTCTCAGCAGTAAAGAATCTGCCTGCAATGCAGGAGACACAGAAGACATGGGTTTGATCCCTGTGTTAGAAAGATCCCCTGCAGGAGGGCAGGGAAAACCACTCCAGTATTCTTGCCTGGAGAATCCGATGGACTGAGGAGCCTGATGGGCTACTGTCCATAGGGTTGCAAAGAGTTGGTCACGACTGAAGTGACTGAGCATGCAAGGATAGGCTATTTTCATAGATGGCATTTATTGGGTTGAAAAAGTTTCCTTTTATCTATTCCTAGTGTTGTGTTTTCATCATGAAAAGGTGCTGAATTTTGTCAAGTGATTTTTCTACACCTACTGAGATAATCATATGTTTTTATTGATTGATTTTCATATATTAAACCAACCTTGAATTTCTGGGACAAATCCTAATTGATCATGGTGTATAATCCATTTTATATGTTGCTGGATTTGGTTTGCTCATATTTTGCTAAGGATTTTTGCATCTATATTTGTTAACCTGTAGATGTCTTTCTTGAGATGTTGACTGGATTTTTGTATGGGCGTAATATTATTCTAATAGAGTCAGTTGCTGCTTTGATTAAAGTAGCAATAAAATACCAGAGGGAAAACTGGAGATGTGAGTTGCATGTAATCATTTGGCAATTTTCTGCACCAATCATCACCACTAAGGACTTAGTTCCCAAAAGGGCAACTTTGTTTATGGCTGTCTCTTTCCCAAGTTGACGGCCTTCAATTGTTTACCATAGGATCATGACTTTTCTCATCTCATTTATTTACCCTTCTCTCATGCACCATATATTTGCCTAAAGACAATAGTGCCCCTCTCCTTAGTGCACTAAACACTGTGCTCTGTGAATCCATAGGGATGAAGGAATTACAGAATTTTGCTTGAGTCAAGTCCTCCTAGTTCCTTT